CCATGTTTTCGTAAAAATACTTTAAAGATCAATTTAAAAAGCGGATAATTTAGCTCGATTAAATAACGGCCGGTCTTTTGAAAACCAATTAGGTAGTGAAGTAAGAACTTCAAAAATTTGTCCTTGGTAGGTGAGCAGTCGGTTCTCGTCTAACAATCTGGTCACCGTTCGACCCTGAAAAAGTTCTGGGCTCAGCTGCCCTTTATCATTGGGGTTTTAAATAATGTCCCTGGCTAAATTAACAGCTGGTCAAGTCAGCTACAAAGCTACGCAGCTCAATTCGCTCCATGCAATTACCCCTATATTGCATGGAACTCGTATTGAACTGATTTTAAAATGTGAAATTTCTCGATAAAAACTTCATCACCCCTGAGGTGACTCGAAACCCGATCTACCCACAGGGATCTTGTTATTTGTAAAATCCTGATTTAATCAGGAACAGCGGTTGGTTTACAAGTTTGCATTTTTCATGAACAGCAAAAGAACGGAGCGGCTGAAGCGGCTCTTGGGATGAAGCAAGATGAAACTATTACGTCATCACACCGGCAGTTACGTCATAAACTAACATAACAAACCAAACTTGCTGATAATGAAAAAAATCTAATGAAGATTGAATTCTGTTCATAAAATAAAATTATAAATGCCTCAAATTCTAACAAAAGATGTAAAGAAGAAATGGCATTCTAAGCAAAATCTTTGACAAAAAGTTAAGTGTCACCGATGGGATTCGATCTTGATACCTCTTGCACATCAGCCTTGTACTATATCCACTACGCCACGAAAACCGATGGCTGTACATCACACGCCAACAAAGAAAGAAGCAGACGAATTTGATTACGCGAGTCTCGAGAAACAATGACGTCATCATAGAGGCTCCCTTCAGCCGCTTTCCACAACGGCACATCCTTCATAAACACATTTTGTTTTATTTGTTTACTTCACAATCTGTTCTACAAATTAATATGATGAACAAGAAAAAGCTATGCAATACAATAACTTTTTTGTAACGTTTAAATATTACAAATAACTGTTAACACTGTCGACAACAAATATTCTTCAATGAACCACTTTGCAATACAAAAATATGAAGGGTCGGTCGAGAATCCGAGCGTCTCAAGTCTATAAATCGTGTCTGCGTTATTGAGCAAGTTCAAATGCTAAATGATTTGGATGAGATTCTAATTTTGAAACATATTTCACTTAAGGTCATGATTTCGTCCTTGACTGTGAGTATCTTAAGGTATTACATGAAGGTGTTCTATTGGTTACGTACCAAGGTGCCTTGGTTATCTTCCTCATCATTTTCGACTGGCCTTTGGATTTTGGATTGGCCAGATAATATCTATATTGAGGTACTAGCCAATCCCTAAAGTTGCACTCCGTATGTCCATATTGGTATTTATTTGTTTTATACATCAATAATTTGTTTTTTATAGGCCTACAGTTTTGATTTTGTTCCAATGAGCCAATTTAACGGATAGATTTTAAACTTAGTTGTTGTCGTTTTCTCCAAATATGATAAACACAAAATCTGACAATTTTAATCCAAACAAAATATCTTGTAAACAAATGTCACGTGGCCATTTTATTTTCGCAAGACAACTATATGTATTTTATGTTCGTTGATTTTAGAATACAACCTCAACTTTCTTGGTCTGTTATTTTCGCAAGACAACTATATGTATTTTATTTTCGTTGATTTTAGAATACAACCTCAACTTTCTTGGTCTGTTATTTTCGCAAGACAACTATATGTATTTTATGTTCGTTGATTTTAGAATACAACCTCAACTTTTTTGGTCTGTTAGGCATAAAGAAAGTTAAGGGAAAATAGAATTTTAATGGTAGCGACTAGCGACCTCTATGGGATACTTACTCAACTGTGCTGTAGCTCATTTAGAATGTTCCATAGAAGTGGAATGTCCACTAATTTATCCAAATTCCATTCCAATGATGTTATGAACTAAACACAAATACAAGTAATACTTCACTTCTTTCAAGAAACCAAAGTTCTAGCATTCATCTAAGGTTCTAGTCTCGATCAAACAAGTTACATTGGCATTTGAAATTTCAAATTAATTTTATAAAATTTGATCAAAATGACAGAACGCTACCAGGCCAACCGGTATCCAGATTGAGAAAAAGATGACATAATGCTCAACTTGAATACCTTTACGTGTTTTTAAAGAAGCAAATGGTTTAAAAATTGTGTTACAGCATTCATGAATAACATTTGTTTTCCACGATTTCAAATTCTACAGCTTAGAGTGCAGCTTTTCTCTAAACCCATTTAAATAAATTATTAACAAACTTTTGTAGTTTTAGTGCGTAGCTCGGATTGAACGGCTAATTGTCTTCATTCATGGGCTGTTTATTGTGTTAGATTTATTGCTTTGATGTTGGTAAGATTACTTGAGTCAAATGAATCAGTTTAACAGTACCGAAATATTACTAATGCTCCAATGAAGTTAACCATAATTTTGCAATTATTGCAAAATTATACAAATTTATTAAATTGAATTATTACTACGATTAGTAAAATTAATAACTTATGTTTTGGAGGTTAAGTGGTAGAAATGACTGGTCCTAACATCACTTCCCAAATACATTTTTAATTTTATTTCAAATTTATTTTGTGGTGTTACAAAAGAGTACCGTACAGAGAAGTAGAGCAGGCGGTTGTTCCAACTAATGCAAACGGAAAACGGATTGAAAAATGCGTGTTGTCAGATGCGGCGAACTCGGAAAATGTACTAGGTGGCACAGGATAAATGAATTTTGGGGTACATTCATTAGCATTTAGCACAAAGTGAAATTAAATTAGGCCTACCCAGGAAGATTTAAGTTTTGGAGACAATATTAAATTTACTTGCGTCTAGGCTAAACGTCGAAAATGTTCAGGAAGAAGAAGTAGGTACTGTATCACGAATATGAGAACCGAAACTGTATGGACCAAAAACATAAACAATTGATGTCACTGGCACGAAAGTAAACATGACATCCTTATAATTATGTAGGACAACATTTTTACCAGAAAATTGTGGACGTCTGGTAAGTCGCAGAAAAGTGGGTGGGGTCTTAAATTAAACGTCTTGATCCCATTGACTCGGAGGAAATATCAGAATTCCCATAAAGTGACCAGAAAACGAGATGTAACGTAAAATATCCACCATAAGAAAAGCATGGGGGACCCAAGCACGACCCCCCCCCCCCGCTTGAAACGTCTGCATTCTAATCAGCTGTTATTTATTTATTTGCAACTAGCTGTGTACCCGTTCTACGGACGGGGATCTTGTTTAATATAACTGTCAAAAAACCTTGCAGACCAGCTGTTACGGCTAGTATAGACAATCGGGTGGGTCAGTCACGTCATTTGTTTATGATCCTTACCGTTTCTGTTCTAATATTCGTGGGGAAGTAGTACTACGATTTGATTAGATCCATACGACGCCTACACACTAGGATGGAAGTTTTAAGGTGAAAATTAGTGAAGCATGAGTGTTGAATAGATAAGATTACTACGAGGTCAATGGCTAATGATCAGCTGGTTATTTGCAGTTAAAACACTATTAATTTATCCTCATATACAAAGTACCTATACGGAGAACAAGTGTTGTCGTCAAAATTTTAGTTTTGAGTTTAAGGAGGAAATATCCGTTTTGGGTTTCCCTGAGTGGTTTTCGAAGTGATATATCTGTGTGTTTGTATGTGTGAGTGTGTGTTTGCGTAGATGTGTTCATATAGCTACAGACTAAAACTGTGGCCCGATTTTGATTAAATTTGGTGTGGGTAATCCATGGTCTATTCAAGTGTTTTTGAAATTTTGATTTTTAAATGACGGTTTTCCCATAGCCATAAAAACAGAAAACATGTATTTTCACAAAAATACCTCTAACGATTATGATTGAAACTGAGTATTTTTCAATCTGGAGAGTATGTTCCAAAATGTTGAATCTGGAGAAGGGGATTTCCGTTTGATTCAAGGGGGGTGTTAAATGAATAGAATATGTTTCTTTCTCTGTTTATTAACAGTTCCACATAACGTTTCATGTTGTCTCAACAGCTTAAATTACTTTACTAAACTTACTACAGCACAGTAATCACTGTTGTGTTTGAACTGGAAATGCTTAAAATGGAAAGTCTAATGAACAATACAAAGACTTTAAGAATCCTTCATGGTAATCAAACATGTAAAATAAACAATAAATTACCACAACTCGTTATATTCTTTACATTTATCCGACTGTTTAGTAAACGGTATAAAGCGCCTTCCAATAGTTAGATATGCTAGTCCCGCACCACACGTCTGTAGCCATATTGACTAAGTAACGCCTTGCGACTGTCAAAGACATCAAAGACCACAAAACAGTGTCTTATGTTATAATCACTCTTAATATCGTTGTAAAGCGGTTGTGCACAGTTTAATAGGATTTCATATCTAATGATTGTATTTTAGAAACCAATTGGGCACTTAACAAAACTGATCAAAAATTAAAAGGTAAGAATGAACCATACAGGGTTACGTAGTTGACATAAAAAGTGAACGTTGGATATAAGGAATTATAACAAAAAAATATTTACATAACAGCATAGTCTTTCTCTTCCCAAGGCTGAGAAATGTGGGTCATGGTGGTTTCATTAAAGATTTATAGCGACCGTGCGTTATTAGGGGCCTTAGAGCCTATTTCAGAGACAAGCCAATTTACGTAAAATTGCATAATTGAGACGGTAATTCGATAATTGTTCTTGGTGTGAAACTAAATCAATAGATGAATAGATGATGTAACGCTATTGGATGGGGTGTGAAGTCAATGTTTCTTTGTGGTTTCAAGAGGCCCTCTTAAACAGGGTCAATTGTTTTAGGGTAAAGGTTTAATTTGGTAAATAAGTAAACGATTGCAAGCGAATCGATCTGCGGGTACCGCTGGTAGGCCGGTAGTGGTATAGGTGGGGTGGCTGGTAGTGGTGCTGGTAATGTGGTATTGCTGGTAGTTACCCACCTCATGATCTCCAGCTCGCGCTCCTCCTCCTGTTTCTGCCGCAGCATAACGTTCTCGATGATCTGCCTTTCCTCGGGTGTGAGGTGCGACAAGTCGGGCAGCGCTGGGTCCGAGGCCATCGTAGCACGGTCTACGGCACTACACGCGGTCGGCACACAATCGCCGTGACACATGGCGAGCCCTAGGCATCTCGCTACATCATCGCGCGACCGCTAACGTCAACCGCAACAGCGAAAACCCGCGGACATTTCGCCACCGACACGGACCCATTCACCGACGAGCTGGACTGCGACTGTGTCGGCCAATGGGGGCGCTCCTCCACAGTGACGTCAGAGGGTGTATTGATCTCTGCGCGCGCAAACGTCCACTTTGAATGAACGTGCTGCGCTCTGCCGCCGCCGCGGGGAAGCGACGAACCTAGTTTCCTGTACACCCACGCAACGGGTTCCCGCGAAAATCTGTCTTGAATGTCTGCGTGATTGCCCAAATCTCGATCTCGTAATTTAGATTATGAGTGGAGGATTCGGTTGGGAGAAGCCTTGTTTTAACTTTCTTTGACTAAGGCTTTTTTGTACACGAATGATACGTATAGCTAAATAGCTGGGTGGATATAGTGCTGGTCTGGTAATAGAGAAGGTTGCCAGTTCGATCCTGAGAAGTCAGAACCTTTTTTGATGGATTCAAATTTGGCCTTATCTGTACCTGATTACTACCTTGTAATAAATGGCCTGGGTTAAGAACCACCTGAACGTAATCAGTAAGAAAGCTGTCATTTCATTCATTACACTTATCACTGCTTTACTACAACCCTAGTAAGCCGGCATCGTAGACATCTAATGTAATATAACATATCTTAAGCTCAGAACATGTATCAAAAGCCAGAAAGCCTAATAATTAAAGGCAGTTACCTAGTTTTAACCCATCAAACACAATTTTGGATGAGTGAGGTTTCAATTGTTAGGCGAGCACCTTACAGCTACCCAGCTAATTTATCTGTTGGAAAGTGGCAAAAACTCGCACAAGACCAAATGTGTAATAAGATGATACATATGTGTCGTTAGCAAACTCAAGTAAACACGACCCGATTTTGATGAAATTTGGTATAATCCTACATTTATTCAAACGTGATCGCGAACCAACATAATCGGACTATGGGAACGGGGGCTTATGGGGTAAAAATTTGTTTTTTCCTTCTTTTGACCCTAAAAACAAAAAATTTAGTGATTTCCTTCCAAACCATTTTGTAGAGCTTAAAAACAAATAATTTAGTATATTGAAGCGTTATAATGCACCTAATGGTTAGAGAGAAAATTCCAAAATACTATAATTTTAAAATTCCGATGTTGTTCTTATGTAAACTATTGTAGTTTGCTTGTTTATGAACATATTTTGGTCAAATTTGGAAAACGCATTTATTTCTTAATAAACTATAAAAATTTAACAAAAAAAAAACACTTTTTTACCCTCTCTGTTGCAGCAAACCTACGTACTCGTTAAACTAATTATTATATTTAAATTAAATAGGGAATAAATGACACATTTTTTAAGAGACGTTTTAGTGTAAATCCAATAAGGCAAATGGAAATTCACTTAGTCTGTAGGTTTGCTGCGGCGGGGGTATTTATTTGGTTGTCTCCTTTTGTTCTTGATGATGTTTTTCTTTTAGTCACTTATGTACATTTTGGTCTATTGAGGCATCTTCAGTGTCTATAGTTTGATATTAAAACATAAATGTCACTATTTACAATTTTGTGAAGCACTATTGTTTATTTACACTGAGATACAAGGCGATGCAGCGCGGTGGCGAGCAACCGAGCATGTATTGGGATATGACACCCGACATTGTGTTGGGGTTAGTATGAAATAATTGATGAGGAATAAATAAAGTACAGTTTAAAAACTACATACACTTTATTATGTTACTATAACAAAAATATTGAGAACACTTAGTCTTACAATTACGAAGATGAAATAAAAATGCTTCCAACTAATGCAAAAATAACTTACAGTATTATGTAAATAAATACTGATAGTAATGTAAATAAAAGAAAATATTGAAAGGTTTTATGCTAATTTTGCTTATACCGTACTCTTATAAGATTTTTGTTTACCAATTTTAGGAGGGGTAAAATAGGATGAAAAGCTACATAACACTTTCAGTTAGCGAATACGAGGGTTAGGCTACATAAGTTTACTTATTAATGTAAATTAATGGTTATCATACAGTAGAACCTCGATAACCTCTCTCATCATAATAAAAAAGACTTGCAATCAAGGTAGTCTTCTTATTGAAGTCTGTAAGGACATGCAATTAGGGGTAATCTAGAATTTAAGATTGTTTGAAAATGACACTTATATCGAGAATGACTTTTTTATCAAGGCTCTATTGTATGTAATCTAAATTAACACTTTAGTATTGACTATTGAGTAAATTTTTGACCACTAAAGGTAGTGGACCACAAGAGCATAGAATAAATATAGAGTCACCACTCCTATACCTACAGCTATACCAGTAGTGTGCAGCCGATTTCCGCCATCTTGGTAAGAGAGACGAGCTCGGAACTTTGAAAACACAGCGTCATTACCACTGTGTTATTCTATGCTACTTTATGCATTAGATGAAGCTACCGCTCCGAGGATACATATAGAACTATACCGCCTTCGATATTGACCTAGGACTCTGCCCCGCGGGCTTTCAAAGTTCTGAGGTGAGAGTTTTAAAAGTAAATATTGATTAGTGGATTCCATGGTAACAATAGGCCTACAATGGTTTAAATGAAAATGCAGACCGGGCCGGCCGCCATCTTGGTACGAGAAGCCTGCTTCACTCCAGACCGCAAGTGCCGCCTCTATATTTATTCTATGCTCTGTGTAGTGGACTCATCTTCATTTAGTGTTGTTAGTTTGATCTTTGGCAGAGCAATCTAAGACGTCTCTTGGCCAGCTCGGCCAGGGGACAGCAACGTAAATCGGAGGTTCGGTCCCGTCTAGTGGCAACTCATAAGGAGTCCACAAGTCTGTGACAGAACTTTGTGATCGATGCTTTATTTAGTTTTTACCGCTGTAATTTATTTGATACAATAAAAAAAAAATATATATGTTATAACAAAAGACACTTTTTAGGAAATATACAGAAGTGAAAGATTAACAACACCTACATTAATAAATACTGCACTTAAATAATTACAAATAAATGCTAAATATTTACACATTATGACAAATATAGAATACTGTGTACATTCTTAAATTCGGGGGTTTTATCATAATTTTGATTCATCTTACTCCTTTATTATACATGTTTCATAAAGATAAACATTCTATTGCCAACCTTATCACCATGTCTGTTTGGCACAATCCTTTCTATAGCTTTAAACACTAAGAAATAACAATTGATTGTTAATACTTTTTAATTCCATACATTATCGGCATTGTAAATTAACACAGAGTTTAGGTAATCACACAAGAAAAAAACAGTCTTTGACCTTGAGCAGTTTATACCAATAATTTTTTTATTTAATTTTTCATTCCGAGTTTTGGAACTCAATAAATCAATATAAAGTAAGTCTGAAATATGGAAAAAAAATTGAGTAATTTCTTTATAAAAAAAAGATGATGTTTTTTTTCTAGAGAGTAGCAATGAAACTAAAACAAAGATACATTATCTTACGAACACCAATAGTTTTGTAAAACCAATGACTTTGGATACTAGAAGTAGAATTTTCATCCTATTATAAAATCTAAAAGTAGTTTTGATGTATTTCATTTACGGCTACATTTTAGTGCATTGATGTACACTAAATGTTTCTCTACTCTGCTGGAATTCAAACACACGCTTTTCTCTTTGAGTAATGAAACGAGAAGACAAACTAGATTTCACAAATAAATTATACTCTTTATAGTACATCACGTAACTAGTCTGGAAGATAGGTGTTTACCAGACAAGAGTGGTAGTTTCTGCGGGAGACAAAGTCAAGTGCGGTAGTACCAAACAATTCCGGTATACGTATTTTGAGTGACATACAATATTTTTGCCATTATTACCCTTAACTCTGCCCCAAACTAACCTAACAATAGAAAAACTGTCAAAATCGGTAATATGTTCCCACCGATTTAAGGACTTATCAATCACTACACATTATGTCTCTGAGAGGTTATGTTTTTGTTTGTAAACCACTTACTGCCATTAGAATATTAGACTAGTTATTAGGTACCAAACTTTATTCATGATTTTATCGAATTAAGTTAGGTGCGAAAAAGTAAAATTTATGATTGGGGAAAATTATTTATTTAAACATGATTGTAAGTTTATTACCGTACAGTAGTACAGGAACCCATTTGATTAGGCAGGTGGCAGACAGCTGTTTTCCGAACATACCATGAAGTCGTCTTTATTAGATACAAAAGAATGAAAAATCTTTAAGGGAGTATGGTTAAGCCTTGTAATAAAACTGCTAATTCATATAATACCTTTTTATGAATACCACAAAATTTCGAACCTAAAAATGTTTGTATAATACTTGTTTTTCATTTTAATTAACTAGCTTATAGTTAAGTCTTATGGTTAAATTTAACTTATTTCCTGCTATACAAAAATGCAACTGCAGTAACGTATAACAACATAAATTCTACTTATCAAAGTTGTCGCCAGTTTTAAAATCAAATTGTGTAGTTGATGTGAGTCACCGATAGATTGTACTGATCTAAATTACTAATTTCTGTCGAATACATGAACTTTTTTACCAAGAAAATAACCAAGCTGATTTTAAGACCAGTAAAATCAGCTGTGCTCTTGTCGTGACTATTCTTTTTTTCTAATGAGCTTTCAGTGATTTCTTATATAACTGTCAAACTTCGGTCACGGTTGTTGACACACGATTCAATTCTAAGAAATCTCTTAAATTCGGAAGCCTTAGGTTTAAAATAAAATATTCATTGAGCAAAACAGGAATATTAAATACATGGCACAATATCATAAGTTCATATGTTAAAAATGCTGAAGGTAACTTTCAATTACTTTACCTGCTTTGTAGGATGTTATCAAATCTTTCTAAAACGTAAGATGATAATAAAACAACATTTGTGCTGAAACTTAATACTAAGAAGATGAAATGCTTTATTATATCTTGTTGAGTTGGTTTTTACTTTGAACTTTGGAGCTAATTTTAAGCTGCAAACACAGAATTAGTAATCTCAATCTTAGGCCAAATCACATTTCAGAAGCTTAAAATACAGGGATTCCTTGATTTTTTTAAATTATGATGATATTTTTTGCAAACGTTGTTACACTTTATGAAATATTCGCCAA